GAGAAAAGATAAGAGATAGAAGTCCCTGTCGCTGGGTGGGTGGCTCACACCTGTAATCCTAACACTTTGGAAGCCTGATGTGGCTGGATCATTTGTGCCTAGGAGTTTGAGGCCAGCCTGCACAACATGGCAAAATCTTGTCTCTACAAACAAAAATTAGCCTGGTATGGTGGTGTGTGCCTGTAGTCTCAGCTACTAGGGAGGCTGAGGTGAGAGAATCATCTGAGAGGCCAAGGCAGCAATAAGCCAAGATCATGCCACTGCACTTCAGCCTGGGTGACAGAGTGACACCTTGGGGGGAGAGAGAGAGAGAGAGAGAGAGAGAGAGAGAGAACACTGATGAAGTTTAGGACCCTGGTTACTACTTTCTCCTGAAGCTTGGTTATGTGGTTCCTGTTGTTCTAGCACCTTTAAATAGATTTCCCCTTTTGCTTAATTGCACTCTGATGTGTTGATCCTAATCTCCACTTGATTCCTGGGCACTCACAAGGCCTCTGTTATCCTTTTGGCACCCCCTCTAGGACTGTCATGCTATGGAACAGGATGCCCCTCTTGACATTCTGACCCTTGGATGCTGGCACATTCTCGACTTTGCTAATTCTTTGACAGTGATGTCTTCTAGCATCTCTCCTCACCTGTGCCTAAGGATCTACTGCCCTTTCAAGATGCTTTCTGGAGCACCCACCTTGGAAAAGAACCTGGTGGGTGCTCCAGAAAGGAGATTCAGGCCGGCAATCTCAGGAACAACCAGAAAAGCCCTTTGCCTCCTAGAATGAAACAGCTCAGCAACAGTTGGGATGTGTGGAATAAAAAGGTCAGAATCAATAAGACAGCTGGCAACTCTTGAATTATAAAATGAGAGGCAGTCAAGCAACAAGGATGTAGGATCCTGGCCATGTGGCTTGGGGTAAGAAAAGTAGTCCACTTTCATGTATCTCCATTGTCTTCCTGCCGAAGACATCCTTTCTGTGATGATGAGATTTATGCATTCAACCAGTATTCCCTGAGGAATGAAGGCAAATAGGTACTATTTACTTATTCGAGGTTGGTAGGTCCTATACTAAGCCCTAGAGATATAGCTGTTTATCAGATCTAATCCTCATTTTGGAGGAGTGCCTAGTCTGATAATGAGACAGATGTATTCCCCAACTGTAACACTAAGGTACAAGGAATAATAGGGAAGAGGGGGCTAGCCACCAGTTGCTATGGGAACTCTTGGGTAAAGGAGGACGTCCAACTCACCAGTGGTGCTGGGGGCAATATTAGGAAAGGTTTCCAGCTGGACGCTATTCTTGAAAGATGAGTGGGTGCTAGCCCGTGGAAGAGAATAAAAGATACTGCAAGAAGAGAAGCAACATATGCAGAGCCATATTTGGGGAGGATGGAGCAGAGGGTAAATGTGAAGATATACCCAATGTAGGCTGGGAAGGTGGGAGAGGCCCTCCCAGTGCCGGTGGAACTACTGCAGGTGAACTATGACGGAGTTTTGAACAGGTACGAGAACAATCACAGGCAGCAGAGTGGGAACAGTTTGGTGGAACTGCCACTGGAAAGAAGCAGATTAGCTAGGAGCTAATGGAAGGTCATTTGGAATATTTGAAGATGCAAACTGTGATGGGGACAGCAGGATTTGGCCTGTGTCACGGGTATAGCCCAAAGAGAAGTTGTGAAGCAGTTCTGTCTGAATCCCCCTCTCTCGGTGTGTGCTGCTGGGACGTCCTGCGAATGCCTGAGTCCAGCTGCCTCCACCTAGAGAACCAGCAGGCAGTGGGAGGCACAGAGGCAGAGACCAGGCTCCAGGAAACATTGGAAGATTCCCAGATGCCTCAGCATGACTCCCCAAGAAAATGGAAGAGAAGTAGCTGCCTCACTCAGTAACAAGCAGGTGATCCGTTAGCCAAAGTTGGGTTTTGAAAAAAACTTCCCTATTCCCCCTCCCCACAAGCCCTCCAAGTCCTCAATCCCGTCCAGTCCACCTCCCCAGAGCCTAGTTCACTCGAGCATCTGCTCTCCCTCCTGGCTGGCAACTTCTCCCTCTCCCAGTTTTCCTCCTTGACCCTGTTAAAATTCATGTCTCACATTAATTGGCCGCTTACCATGTGCTCTGCCCTGTGCTGAGGGCTTCAAATACATTCTCATTTAATCATTGCAATAACCATAGGAAACAGGGACTACTTGTTCCTCCATTTTACAGACAAGGAAACTGAGGCTTAGGAAAGTTTAGTTAACTTGCCCAAAGTCACACAGCTGTTGAGCAGTGGGGCTATGATTTGAACTCAAGCAGTGTGTGTATGGAGCCCAATCTTAGAACCCCTATCCTGCTTCCCAAATTGTCCTTAGGTCACTATTGCCCTCAACTGTGTTTGAAAGATTTGGAAAGGACAGTCTACACGTGCTGCCTTTTCTGCTTTATTTTTCATTCCTCAAACACTGTTGGTCTGGCTTCCATTCTAATCAGGGACTTCCTAGTTTCCAAATAAAGTAGCCTATTCTCCTCCCCCTTCCTGTAGCACTCAATGACCGTGGATAAGCACATTCTTTGGGGTCCTTTACCTCTGGATCCAATGACCATTAATTCTCCTGGCTTTTTTCCTACCTCTCCAAATACCATTTCTGTCTCCCTTTCTTCTTTCAGCACAATTTAAGGGATCCCCAATACTATATCTTCAACCTTCTCTCTATATGCCCTCCTGTTGATAGCCTTTTTGGATCTATATTTGGCTTCTGTAGCCTTTTTTTTTTTTTTTTTTGAGACGAAGTCTTACTCTGTTGCCCAGCATGGAGTGCCATGGCATTAGCTCACTGCAACCTCACCTCCTGGGTTCAAGCAATTCTGCCTCAGCCTCCCAAGTAGCTGGGATTACAGGCACCCTCCACCATGCCTGGCTAATTTTTGTATTTTTAATAGAGACAGGATTTTATGTTGGCCAGGTGGTCTCGAACTCCTGACCTCAAGTGATCCACCCACCACAGCTTCCCAAAGTGCTGGGATTATAGGCGTGAGCCACCAAGCCCGGCCAGGTAGCCTCTTAATTGAACCTCTCTAGCCTTGACTTCTTAGAGCCACAGAAATATTTACCCATATGCCTATTGCATGTGTCTACTTGATGCCCCCACAGTCCTTTGGTGCTGGGTTCAGCTTTTCTCCTGAAATTGCCCTTTTCTTCTATGGTCCCCACTCAGCGAATAGCTCTATTCTTCCCAGTCACTCAGGCTCAAAAGCTTGAAGTCTCTTGAGTTAACCCTTGATCCTGTCCTCCACATCCCATAGGTGGTTACTACCTCTATGGAATCTGCCCAAGATCTTCTTTTGTAATTTTCCCTCCTTCCCCAGGTTCTCATTGCATCCTGCCCCCTTCTTTGGCTTCCCTGCATCACACACACACACACACACACACGTGCACGCACATGCACGCGCACGCACTCACGCACGCACCCACGCACGCACCCAACTATGAGCCAGGTACTATGCTGGTATTAGGAATTCGGCTGTGAACTAAAAAGACAAGGCTCCTGCTTTCAAGGAGCTCAGGTCTGGTGGGTGAGACAGGAGGGAACAAGTAATTGTCACTTACTGTGATGAGCGCCTCAACGATAAAGTACAGTGTGTTTGCAGTAGGGAGCCCTTTAGAAGAACTGCCATCCAGAATTAAAGAGTCAGGCACAGATTTACAGTGGAAATGGCATTTAAGCTTAGGTCTCAAAATGGAAACAGAAGTCAGCCAGGTAAAGGCTGGGGAGAATAAAGAAGGCAACTGAAGGAGACAAGCACTAGAGGCCAAGAACATACATGGGCAAAAATTTGGGAATGGGAAAGAGCAGGGTTTACATGGGGAACTGCTGGTAATTCAGTATGGCTAAGGCATAGAGGGTGAAGAGGAGTAGTGAGAGATGAGGCTGAAGGGATAAGCAAGGCCCAATTCGTGCAGGGTCTCTGAGGAATTTCCAGTTTATCTTTGGAGCACTGGGGAGTCACTATGAATTGCTATGAGCAATGGAGGAACATAATCAATATGCATTTTTAAAAATATTACCTACAGGCTGGGCGTGGTGGCTCATGCCTGGAATCCTAGCAGTTTGGGAGGCCAAGGCAGGCAGATTGCCTGAGCTCAGGAGTTGGAGACTGGCCTGGGCAATGTGGCGAAATCTCGTCTCTGCTAAAACACACACACACACACGCGCGCACACACACACACACACATTAATTAGCTGGGCATGGTGGCATACACCTATAATCCCAGCTACTGGGGAGGCTGAGGCACAGGAATCGCTTAAACCTGGGAGGCAGAGGTTGCAGTACTGAGATTGCGCCATTGCACTCTGCGAGACTCTTAGTCTCAAAAAAAACGAGGCTGGGCAGTGGCTCATGCCTGTAATCCCAGCACGTTGGGAGACTGAGGCGGGTGGATCACGAGATCAGGAGATAGAGACCATCCTGGCTAACATGGGGAAACCCTGTCTCTACTAAAAACACAAAAAATTAACCAGGCGTTTTGGCACACGCCTGTAATCCCAGCTGCTCAGAAGAAGAACCACTTGAACCTAGGAGGTGGTGGAGGTTGCAGTGAGCCAAGATGGCACCACTGCACTCCAGCCTGGGCAAGAGAAAAAAAAAGAAAGAAAAAGAAACTAACTAGAAAACATTACTACAGTATAGAAAATGGACTTAAGGTATTTAAGACGAGGCTTGGCTAAGCACGGTGGCTCACACCTGTAATCTCAATGCTTTGGGAGACCAAAGTGGAAGGACTGCTTGAGCCCAGGAATTCAAGACCAGCATGGGCAAGATAACGAGATCTCATCTCTCCCCTCAAAAAATGTTTTTCAAATTAGTCAGGCATGGTGGTATGTACCTGTAGTCCCAGCTACACAGGAGACTGAAGTGGGGGGACTGAGCCCAGGAATTTGAGGCTACAGTAAGCTGTAATCATGCCACTCACTCTAGCCTGAGTGATAGTGTGAGACCATGTCTCTAAAACAAAACAAAATACCACACAAAGCTTGTTAAAACACAGTTAAGAGGTTATTGTCATCATCAAGGCAAAAATGATGATGATGGTCCTGATCAGCAAAAAAGCTGTGAGGATGGAGAGAAGTGTGTGTGTTTGGGGGATATTCATGACATAGGATTGAAGTATTAGTGATTGATTATATATAACAAGGAAAGGGAGAGGCGGTGAGTCGAGGATGAGAATGGCAGTGCATTCACAAAGACAGGGAACACTTTGGATCTATTTTAAGAAAAGATGATGAGTTCACTCTGTACATGTTGAGTGTGAAGTGTCTGTCGGCTAGCTGAGTCAAGATGTCTAGTAGACAGCTGAATACATGGGTTTGCAGCTCAGGAGACGGACTGCAGGTTGTTAGTATCAAGGTGATACCTGAAGTTAATTAGATTAGATGACATCATTTGGGAGGGCCTGGAAGGACAGCCTTATTTTAGGAATGGGCCTGAGTTATGAAGGAATTAGAAGACGAGGAAGTGGAGATAGCAAGTTTAAACAAGTCGTTCAAGAGATTTAGCTATAAACAGTAGGAAGAACATAATGCTACAACTAGAGTAGCCTGACGTTAAGAGAGGGTTTTGTTTCTTTGTTTAGGATAGACATGACACACTCATGTCTAATTGGAGGGTCCAGTTCAGGGCCTTTCAGCTCATCCCAGCACCCTTGACAAAGACCTGCCATGCCGGAAACTCTGTCAGATAAAGAGTAAGGTTCCTTCGGAGGAGACATCCCTCTTTGCTTCTAAGAGGTGACAAGCTGCTTCCAACCCCACCTCCAAGATTCTGGGCCTTTCCCCCAGGAACTCACTTAAGGATTGACTCACAGAACTAGTTTTTCAGGATGGCTCATGCAGGCCCCTGAGGATATTCTCCTCCCAAAGGCAGAGTCCAGGCCTACAGGGTCTGTCTCTACCTTTCCAGGATCAGCTGTGGGTGCCCAGAGAAGGGCCTGACAGAACAGACACCAGCTCTAGCGGTGAAACTAGAGACACTCAGAGCCCAGGAAGATGGAAGTTCCTCATCAGATTCTTCAATGCAATCAAGTTCCACTGACATTCCCTGATGCCTGTTTGGAGCCAGGCCTGGCTAGTAGTTCTGTGATGAACTCAACATGGCTTCCACCTGGAGGTAGAGAAAATAGACAATTACAGTATAATTACTCTCTCTCTCGTGAGAGAGCCGTCAGGGCTTGGAAGCCAAAAAGACTCTTCCTTGGGAGCCCAGCCTTAAGAGTTTGATGGGAGAAAGGTAATGATAAAAACTCTCTAAATTCTCCCACTGACCCAGAACTTAGCTTTCCTTCTATTTTTGGAAAAAATAACCAAAATAATTTAAACAATCTATTTAAAACTAATTTTTTTTTCTTCTGTGAACTTTTCCTTTCATAGTATTTGGGTTCAAAGGGGGTGATAGAACTTAGGGAAAATATTTTCACAAGTCCTTAAAGAATGTTCAAATCTAGCCTAGAAACCCCCAGATTAAAAGCAAGTAAGGCCACCATTGCTGGATGTTGGAGAGCTCTTGGGCTCAATCCTCAGACCTCTTTTCTTTGTCCTCTTCGTTCACTATCTATCTTATCCACTCCTTAGGCTTTAAATACCAACTACATACTGAGAAGTTCTAAGTTCATATTTATAATAAGAGGCTTGCTCCCCCAGGTCTCAGACTAATGTATCCAGCTGCCTACACAATATTCTTATTTGGACTTCCAACAGGCTTCTTAATGTGCCTCAAATCAACCCTCTATCTTTTCTTACAAGCCTGTTTCTCCTTTGGTCTTGCTCAGGTCATCCTTAACTTTTTTTTTTTTTTTGAGATGAAATCTCGCTCTGTCGTCCAGGTTGGGGTGCAGTGGCACCATCTTGGCTCCCTGCAACCTCTGCCTCCTGGGTTCAAGCAATTCTCCTGTCTTAGCCTCCTCAGTAGCTGGGACTAGAGTTGCATATGACCATGCCTGACTAATTTTTGCATTTTTAGTAAAGATGGGGTTTCACCATATTGGTCAGTCTGGTCTTGAACTCCTGACCTCAGGTGATCCACCCACCTCAGCCTCCCAAAGTGCTGGGATTACAGGCATGAGCCACCATGCCTGGCTTCCTTGACTCTTTTTTGCCTGCCTCTTCCCCCTTAACCAATTTGTCAACAAATCCTGTTGATGTCACCTTCAAATATCCCTACATTGACCATTTCTCACCATGCCCTTTGCTTTCACTGCAGCCCAAATCTCCATTATCTCCACCTGGTTTAATGCAGGAGTCTCCTAACTGGTGTCCCGTGCTATATGCTTGTCATCCCATGGTATATAGTCAGAACAAGTGATCCTTTAAAACAGAGTGGTCTTTTTAAGACTTGAGATCCTGGCCAGGCTTGGTGGCTCGTGCCTATTATCTCAGAGCATTCAGAGGCCAAGGTGGGAGAATGACTTGAAGCCAGGAGTTCAAGCCTGGGCAACAGTGAGACACTATCTCAACAAACATTTTTTAAAATTTAGCTGAGCATGGCAGCACATGCCTCTAGTCCCAGCTATTCAGGAGGCTGAGGCAGAAGGATCCCAAGCCCAGTAGTTTGAGGCTACAGTGAGCTATGATCATACCACTGCATTCCAGCCTGCTGGACAGAGGAGACCTTGTCTGTTAAAAAAGAAAAAAAAGAAGAAAAGAAAAGAAAGAAAAAGGCCAGGTGCGGTCGCTCACGCCTGTAATCCCAGCACTTTGGGAGGCCTAGGTGGGCAGATCACCTGAGGTCTGTAGTTCGAGACCAGCCTGGCCGACATGGCGAAACCCCATCTTTACTAAATACACACAAATATTAGCCGAGTGTGGTGTCGGGGGCCTGTAGTCCCAGCTACTTGGGAGGCTGAGGCAGGGTGAATTGCTTGAACCCAGAAAGCTGAGGCTGCAGTGAGCCAAGACTGTGCCACTGTAATCTAGCCTGGGCCACAGAGTAAGACTCCATCCACCCCCACCCCCCCAAAAAAAAAGAAAAAGAAAAAGAAGGCCAGGTGCAGTGGCTCACACTTGTAATCCCAGCACTTTGGGAGCCTGAGGCAGGTGAATCACCTGAGGTCAGGAGTTTGACACCAGCCTGACCAACATAGTGAAACCCCATTTCTACTAAAAATACAAAATTAGCCAGGCATGGTGACACATGTCTGTGATCCCAGCTACTTGGTAGGGTTGAGGCAAGAGAATTACTTGAACTCAGGAGGTGGAGACTGCAGTGAGCCAAGATCGCACCATTGCACTCCAGCCTGGGCAATAGAGTGAGACTCCATCTAAAGAAAAAAAAAAAGTAAGATCCTGTCACTCTTCTATGCAAAACTTTCATCTCATTCAGGGTAAAGTCAAAGACTTACGATGGCCCCAAACCCTGCCACACCTGCTCCCCTCCAAGGCCTCCCTTGACCTCATCTGCTGGTGCTGTCCACTGTGGTCAACTCTTTCCAGCCACTCTGGGCTTCGTACAAGCCTATCACACACCACCTGTTCTCCAGCATTAGCCCTTTGCATCTGTGGATCTTTTTTCTTTTTCCCTCCAAAGCTACTGCAAATGCATCTGTGGCTCTTTCTACCTTGAATGTCCTTCCCCCAGATATCTCCATGGCCTAGTGTCTCTCCTCTTTCAGATCCTTGTTAAAATCTCTTGCTAAGACAGGCCCTGACAACTCTATTTAAAATTACAATCCTCTCCCCTCAGTTCTTCCCTCTTTCCATGCCTGCTTTATTTGTCTTCAATGCTCTTGTCACTATTTGGCCTACAGGATATTCTACTTATTGCTTTCCCCCTGTAGGATGTAATCTTGATGAAGGCAGCAATTCTTATCAGTTTATTTATTTATATATTTATTATTTTTGAGCCAGGGTCTTGCTCTGTCACCCAGGCTAGAGTACAGCAGTACAACCACGACTCACTGCAGCCTTTACCTCCCAGGCTCAATCTTCCCACTTCGGTCTGCTGAACAGCTGGGGCTACAGGTGTATACCACCATGCTCAGCTAAATTTTTTTAATATTATATAGAGACAGTATCTTGCTATGTTGCCCAGGCTGGTCTCGAACTCCTGAGCTTAAGTTATCCTTCTGCTTTTGTCTCCCAAACTGCTAGGATTATAGGCAGGAGCCACCAGGCCCGGCTTTCTCAGTTTATTTAGTGCCACATTTCTACCATCTACAGAAGTGCCTCCCACACATAAGGTACTCAATTAACATTTGTTGAATAAATGAATTAATTACGGGCTGCAACGAGCTCCTACTGTGTATCAAGCTGGGGCCTGGAATGTGGCAGAAAATTCCTTACAGCAGATAACATGATTCCCACTTTTTTTTTTTTTAAAAAACAGAGTTTTGCTCTTGTTGCCCAGGCTGGAGCATAATGGTGCAATCTCAGCTCACTGCAACCTCCACCTCCCAGGTTCAAGTGATTCTCCCGCTCCAGCCTCCCACGTAGCTGAGATTACAGGCATGAGCCACCATGCCTGGCTAATCTTTTTGTATTTTTAGTAGGGATGGGGTTTCATCATGTTGGCCAGGCTGTTCTGGAACTCCTGACCTCAGGTGATCCATCTGCCTCAGCCTCCCAAAGTGCTGGGATTACAGGCCTGAGCCAGCAGGATTCCCATTTTGCAGAAAAGAAGACTGAGGCTTGGGGCCAGGTGTCATGGTTCACACCTGTAATCCTAGGAGTGCTAGGATTAGGAGGCCGAGGTGGGTGGATCACCTGAGGTAAAGAGTTTGAGACCAGCCCAGACCAACATGGAAAAACCCTGTCTCTACTAAAAATACAAAAACTAGCTGGTCATGGTGGTGTGCATCTGTAATGCCAGCTACTCCGGAGGCTGAGGCAGGAGGATAGCTTAAACTCGGGAGGCGGAAGTTGCAGTGAACCCAGATCGTGCCATTCTACTCCAGTCTAGGCTAAAGACCAAAACTCTGTCTCAAATAATAATAATAATAATAATAAATTAAAAATAAATTATAAAAAAGATGGGCTTGGGGAATGATGAGTGCTCTTTTCTTCTGTTCCTATAGAAACCTGTGCATGGCCCTAGTCTCAGCACCTATCATACTGCACTGTCATTGTCCATTTCCTCAACTAGATGTAAGATTTTTAAGTTCAGGGACTACCCTAGCTCTTATTGTTTTATCTCCAACACCTCACAGAAAGGTGGGCACATGGTAGGTGCTTAAGAAGTATTTGCTGCATGAATACATGAATGAAATGGGCAAGTCAGGGTACAAACTTACAACTTTTTTTTTTTTTGGAGATGAAGTCTCACTCTGTCACCTAGACTGGAGTGGGGTGCTGAGATCTTGGCTCACTGTAACCTCTGCCTCCCAGGTTCAAGTGATTCTCCTGCCTCAGCTTCCCCAGTAGCTGGGACTACAGGCATGTGCCACCATGACCTGCTAAGTTTTGTATTTTTAGTAGAGACGGGGACTCACCATGTTAGCCAGGATGGTCTTGATCTCTTGACCTCGTGATCCACCCGCCTCAGCCTCCCCAAGTGCTAGGATTACAGGCATGAGCCACGCGCCCTGCTCAGACTCAAAACTTTCAAAAAGAAGTATCTGCCCACCCCACCCCCCTTGGTCCTAGAGTGTTCCTGAGACAGCCACAGAGCCAACAGTTAAGTCCCTCCCCCTGGCAGAGTGCCTTCTTGCAAATCCTCACCCACAGAGTCAGAAGTATTTTAGATGGGGAGAAGTATACACTGGCTGACAGTTCTTTCTCATCACACCAGGCAAACAGAAATAATTTCTTCACTTAATCCCTCCCAGTCCCCTATAGTCAAGGTCTTTCTTATTCCTTCCCTCCTGATCTGCAGTCTGCCTCCCTAGTGTCCCCAGTCCTCAGCTGCTGGTCGGGCTCCCTGCCCACCCATCCACTCACCCAGCCTTCAGCCAACAGCCTCTGTGAGCCTGCTCTGGGCCATGTGATAGCTGAGCTAACCCCCATTCCATTCCCACTGTGAACTGGCTTGGTTCTTTAAATCTTCATTCCAACAAACTCTCTCTCTCTCTCTTTTTTTTTTTTTTGAGACAGAGTCTCACTGTTTCACCAGGCTGGAGTGCAGTGGTGCAATCTTGGCTCACTGCAACCTCCGCCTCCCAGGTTCAAGCAATT